ATAAATTATTCCAAGGCGACAAACTCGTAGAGTCTTTTTGAACTCACCTTCGAGCCACGATAGTAAAAGTTGCCATCAGTTGTCAAGTCACCGTCATATTTCAGATGAGTGGCGTTATTTAGGTTACAGATGTGAACTGGCTCGTTATACGTTAGATTATTCTCTGGATCTTTTTTGTAGTTAAGACTAACGCAGTTGTCGTTCTGGTAGCACAGAAGTTCGCATTCATCCAAGTTCTTGACGTATTCTTCTTCGATGGTATGGTTTACCAAACGTCTTTCAGCATAGAAGTAATAGTCTGGAAACAGCACTGCACGCTCTCGTTCTAAAATAAACAATTTAAAATATGGTCATAACGCATACATCTCCGTCGTCCGAGAGTAAAGAATGAATTCCTTAGAAAGAATCTTGGGATCTAAGGAAACTAACGGCAAACATATGAATAAAACGATGACAGATTAAATTTATTTTAAACCTTTATAATTCGCTCAGCCGTTGTCTGCAAACAATATTAGGGACTTTAAGCGAACCACGACGGCTACGGCAACGAGAACGTGGAAAAACAATAGATCTAATTGGCAGAACAATAGCCCAGCACGTGCGTTTTCAAACGCGAGTAAAGTCTAACCGTAAAGTCTGCCGTTTAGAAAATACGAGTGAAGACGAACCATAAAGTCAACCATTTACTCTTACACGAGGCACCGTGAAGTGAACTAAAAATTCAGCACTAAACTATGGAATTCAGATCAAATTCAGCTTGAATTCAGGTAAAAACTTGGTGGCCCTCGTGGTCTTTACTCGAAGGCCACTTACGCGCATGCCCGAAAGTCAAGCGCCTCCGCTGGGGACCCAGCTGGGGAACTTGAAGCCCAGCGGCAACAACGTGCGTTTTAAAACTTTGTACATTTCTTAGCCGTCCTTTGCAAAACAACAACGTGAAATCACCAAAATATGCGTCGTCTGCGAAGCGAAACCGCGGCGGCAAATTATTTTAATTTACATTTGGGACTCAACGNTTTCCTGTGCTCCATTGAAGAACAACTGGATCGCAACAACAAGTTACCAAGTTTCTACAAAAGGTACGTCGATGACACATTAGCCACGATGCCAAATATTCAAGCCGCAACAGCTTTCCTTTCAACATTGAACGAATGCCATCCTGCCATACAGTTCACAATGGAAATTGCTGAAAACAACAAGCTTCCATTCCTCGGTATGATGATTGAGAAAAACGGTTGCCACCTGACAACAAGCGTATATCATAAACCAACTGATACAGGACTGCTCTTACATTACCAGAGCCATGTCGATCAGCGTTACAAAAGATCTCTGCTGAATACAATGCTGAACCGAGCTTACCGCCTGTCATCAACGAAAGAATCTTTTACGAAGGAATGCCAGCATCTCAAGCGGATGTTTACTAAGCTTAAGTACCCAGTGAAACTCATCAACTCAGCTATCGCCTGGTACACGAGTTCTACGATCCAAAGCCGTCACGAAACCCCAACTGAACTTGACGCGGCTACACAAAAACCTGTCAGAATAACTTTACCATTTAAAGACCAAAAATCGGCCGACACAGTAAGACATCAGCTGAAAGATCTTGGCCGGAAAATCGGAACTGACCTACAACCAGTTTTCACGAGTCGTAAGATCGAGGGAAAGCTCAAGATACAAGAAGAGAAGCCCGCTTTAATTAACCACCAATGCGTTGTTTACACTTTTAAATGTGATTCGTGCGATGCGGATTATATCGGTTATACCACACGCCATCTTCATCAACGCATAGAAGAACATAAAGCCTCTGTCATTGGCAAGCATCTGAAAGAAGCCCACAGTGTAGCGTCCACTAGCCTAGAGGAAATGTTTTCCGTTCTCAAGAAATGCCGCGGAAAAATGGACTGCCTAATTCACGAAATGCTATTCATTCGCGAACAAAAACCAAAGCTAAACACGCAGTCTGACTCAATACGTGCAAAAGTATTTATTTAAACATATACTGCACGATCTGACATGCTAAACACCAATAACAATGAACGCTCATTATTCTAATGAAGTTATCACATTTTATTTGTATATAATCTCTGAGCTACAATTTTACATCAGTTTTAACATTTTACTTGATAATGAGGTCATGCAGACTTCGAAACGTCGTAGTTTTTTACCGTTAATTTTTATTATCAAATGAATGGTAATACCATGAAAATGCTTTTAGGATCTACTTAAAGCAAAACCGTGACTATCATCTTTCGGTGAATTAATTCCATTTTTTCGTTGATTGCAGAGATCCAATTTTTACTTGTCAATCTTTGAAAAAAAGTCGAAGCACAAAACAGGATATTCGACTCAGCATTTGTTGTTATACAGTTACAACTGTGTAACAACAACAGGGCGCCCTATTAATGTTTTCTTTGGCGCCATATCTATAAAATTCTATAAATTTCAAAAGCTGTTTATCGCCAAAAGTCTCTGAGCGGGTATCATTGAAAAATTCTGTGACGCCAAAGAGTAGCGTGTCACCCACGAAATTTGAAAGTCGATTTCCGACTTGTTTAGAGGGATACATCACCGCACGTGTGCGCGAAGAACAGGGCGAGATGATCATCTCAATTATCAGAAATATAGTGAATGTCAATACAGTATAAATGAAACTCATGTTACATAATTCAGCACTCAGGGTCTTTCAACACCAATGTTTATAATAGAAAATAACGAGATTTTCCTAAAAAAAAATTGTTGCAGTGGTCTCGTTTTCTTGCTATGCCGAATAGCGCGGCGCTGAAGTTGAACCTTTCATAGCTAGCTCAAGCGCAACTTTTATAAACTATGTAGAAAGGAGAGCTATCAAATTCACCTGTGCAATTTTTTCCATTTCCAGTATATCCAGGATGACATTTACAAACATGTGATCCAAGGGTGTTTCTGCAGGTAGCATTAACGTGACAAGAATGATTCCCTCTACATTCATCAATATCTAAGAAGTCACAGAAAGAAAAACAACTTTTAAATTTATGCACGATTTTCCGCGCACAAGCTGTTACCATGTTAAAAGCTGCAGGCCATGGCTGTCGCCAACCCTTTGTCGAATACAGGAAAGCAAAAATGTCTTAAAGGAAGAAAAATATATAAAAAGCTGAGTGATGATGTTACTCTGTGAATGTCACAGGCATACTCGGAGAAAAGAACTCCGACGGCTCCCGCTAGGTGCTCTACCTATGACCTTTCCGATTAGTACTTCGGATGCTCTGCCTCTAAGTTATAGGAGACTCATGACGGGCCAAGCCATTCAAGTAGGTCCATGGTGCCAAACTTCCTGCATACTAATAAGACTGCCAAATTTGATGCTTTGCACAATTGGAAACGGGTAACTGCCTGGGTTACTAATATTAAATCATGGCTTTTCTCGAAACCATGCAAACCAAAAAAAAAAACATAAGTATGATGCACGATCCTCGCAATAGAGAGCGCTATTTATGCAATAGCGAAAATCAGACCTGAAAAAAATCAGGCCTGTACGGGACTCGAACCACTGACCTCTGCGATACTAGTGCAGCGCTCTACCAATTGAGCTAACAAGCCAACTGGGAGCAGGCCGTTAAGTTGATTCGTAATAAACCCGTGAAAGTGATAAATGAGATACAATGAATATATGAAGTTCATATATTTTGAACTGCGGTATTAGATACGTATGATGCACGATCCTCGCAGTAGATAGCGCTATTTAAGCAATAGCGAAAATCAGACCTGAAAAAAATCAGGCCTGTACGGGACTCGAACCACTGACCTCTGCGATACTAGTGCAGCGCTCTACCAATTGAGCTATCTAATACCGCAGTTCAAAATATATGAACCTCATATATTCATTGTATCAGACTATTTTTACTAAACTATGGCGTCAAAAGAGGAAACTCATGCTCATGTCCATCAAAACCAGCCATTGTCTGTTGTTGTGCGGTATCACGTAACATATTGATATTCGCCTTGATATGTGTGGACATTCTCGAGCAACCTTTTGTTAACTGTTTTTTCACGATTAACGAGTCAATCGATAGTCCACTCTCATCATTTTACTGCTGTTGAAAAAAATGACTGGTAGCACCACACGCGTTACAAAGAAAGTTGCTAAAACAGCGTTAAAAGGACCGTAAAGGACAAAGCGGCTACGGAAAAAAGATAAGGAGACTTCACACGTTATATTCCTCGCTTTTTAATTCTTTTTAATTTTTTAAAATTTTTTTATAATTTTCCTTTTTATAACGAACCACGCTTACGCTCAAAATTCGATCTTAACATGTTAGGTATTCCCGTTAATGACCTTTAGACCCCAAAATCACACTCAGTACGCTTTGGCCGCCTATGGTCTTACATTTACAATATAGCTTACTTCAAAACTTGTGAAAGACATGGTACATTTCCACACAAACGTTCAACTCGGAAAATGCAAAGTATTCCATATACCAGCATTGTTCCTCTATAAAAAGAGCTTCCCCCAGCTGGCTAAGAGCGACTACGTGACATTTTAGGAATAAACGCTTTTGCAAATTTCCGTAATGGCCCCTTTGTTTAATACCATTTTACGTCAATGAAAGCGGGTATAAAAGCATTTCGTTCTTATGCTAACCATTTTGTGGAGTTGAGGTTTTTAGTTTTGTCGTAACTCTTATGTCGTTCCGTAAGCTCTCACGTATGTGTAAGTTGAGAAGTTCTGTGTATGAACTGAAATCATTTACATCGTCGGAATACTGAGATAATAATAGTCATATGAAATAAATTGCAGGAATGGAATAGAAATATTGAGGAATGAGGAAAAGGAAATGATTCTCAGTTTGCAACTCACCTTTACCAAACGTCAAATAAGTCATCGATGCAGTGAAGACTACGAATATAAAAAACGCAGAAAATTCCATGTTTCTTCAAGACAACGGGTCTCAATATTGATGCTTTCGTTGTGCCACAGACTTTATGTCGACCACCTACATTCAGTAATGGATTAAGTAACAGCTGTCACCACTGGCCTAATTAAATTATAGATGCAAATAACTTCAATTCCTTTCAAGAGTTCCTTCAATTCCTTTCTAGTAATAGTCAATGAGGTGCCTTTTTGTCAATAATATTGTGAATAAATTCTTGAGAACAGTGGGGGAAAAAACCTCGGGAAACAGTCACGCACTCAGACAAATTATATTGCGTTTCTAAGATGAAACACCTCCAAATTTTCAAGACTTTGAATTTTAGAGACTTTGAATGAGTGAATTATTGACGGATTGCTACAATTTCAAACTTTTTAGCGACTGGTGTTCCTCGCAGACTTCATCAAAACTAGAGGTCGTTATGCTGAAGGGTTTTTGTTACCTAATCAAGGATAAGATTTTTTGTCCCGTGAGGCTTTGATAACTTTAATCTAAAAACTTCCTTTTACCTCGAAGAAGTCTTCGAGACGGTAAATGCTGATTTTAATAAACATATCATTTAATGATTCTGCCCCATCATGTGCGAAGGCAGAAAGACTGCAAAGTTGTTCAATAATTCAATTGAGATAAACGCAATGCAAATGATTTGGAAATTGAGAGCAGAGATGAAAGAAACATGTCAAAGAAATTTTGCAAAATGTATGTAAATGAAACTGCAAATACGGACATTTTTCGTCAATTACGATTTCCTAAAACGTGTCTGGTTTCTTTGTTGATCCTTCATCATATTTTCTACCCTCAAGTTATACAGCGATACAAAATTAAACACTTGAAAGGCTGTCTGGGCACTATACATGGTTATCAACATTGTTTACGAGTTTTAAGTGTGTAACTTAATTGTGACGAGAGTCTGCTTGAGCAGCTGCCCTTAAACAACTTCACGTGATGTGCTTATATAATCACACCACGAGTCGGAGCTTCACACATTGCCTCAGACCCAGTTTACTCCTCCAGGGTACATCAGACCCAATTATGGAAACTTTTTAGGCATTGCAGAGTCAGTAAAAGAGTCACGTTTTCGTCAAAATTTATGTTGACACCTACCTACTTAAAAAAAAAAATTGTTTCGCTGTGAAACGTGATAAGAAAATAACACTGTCATAGCTCGAAATAGGGGACGTTCCATTCTTACCAAGTTGGAAAAGGCAATTACTCCTACCAATCTGTTTATAAAGTTCATTTGGCTTTATGAACTGGTTGCAATCTTCATTTGAATCCTAATAAGACAAAGGACTCGACTCAACAACTGGCTCGCGTGCATAAGCTTGATGAATACCCGATCAGCTTGCATACAAATGGTGCTAAATTGGAACGAATCAAAACCACTCGATTACTTGGCACAGAAATCAACGAAGACTTGAAATGGAACGATGACATTCTTTCCAAAATGTCAAAGTGCTACAATACTCTTGCTATTATTAGAAACTCAAGAATCTTGCCCCTTTTCACGTCAGAAAACGCCTAGCAGAGAGCCTTGTGTTGTCGTTAATCGATCACAACAATATAGTCTGTCATCCCATTCCTAAGTTCCTCACGCAGAGACTCCAACGTGTCCAACTCGCTGCGGGAAGTTTGTTTACAATCACTACATGGATATGTCGGATGTTTCGAAACTCGGATGGCTCCCCATTAGTTATCGCCGAGCCTATCACATAACCAGGACGATATGCAAGGCTTTATATCACAACTGCTGGCCAACCTGCCTCAAACTGGTCGAACATAAACCTACAAGGACTTTAAGATCTTCTTGTGAGCGTCGCCTTGAACCATCGACTGTTCCCGGAACGCTTCATATTGTATTTTCATGAAGAGAAAATAAAATCCTTTTAATTTGTAAACGCTCGCGTGATTGTTTAGACTGGTTTTGTTATCTTTTTTCGTAACTTTGATTTTCTCAATACCCTATAAATTGATAGTAATTGTGATACAGTTTATGTTATTGAGTGTGGAAATGTATCGAGCCCTTCTCAAAGCTCATTATTACCCTCGCTTAGCGTCTCGGGCTAAAATCACTCTGAATCGGGCCTAAAACATATTTATGTCCGCGAGCCTGAACTTTACACTACCATTACCTCAAATACTGAATCAAGCTAAGGTACGGGCGATGCACTTTGATAAATCCTGCTGGTTTGAAACATTACGAAAACCGCTGTGAATCTGTTTAAACGAGTTATTTTCTAACCCCGCGTCTAGAAAATTGTTTGCACTCTTTGAAATACTGAAACACGAATGCAGTGTAAAAATTTTCAACATTTCTAGAGGGGTTGTCGTAACTGACAAGTATCTTGAAGGGTAGGTGTCTTGAATGGTTAGGGCGATGGACTTGTATTCTGGCGGTCGTGAGTTCAACCTACCCCCTTTCCCCCCATTTAAGTTTGCCCCGAGTTCAACTCCTTGACCGCGCTTTGTTGTAGCCAACTGATGTGCCTCCTACCAATTGTGACTTTTAAATACTATATCTTAGTTCAAATAAGTGAATCAAATATGCAGTTATTAGCCCTGCAAAGCCCCATTGGAGCAGAGTTCAATTTGATTATTTTATATTGCCTTGCTCAACCTACGTAATTTGCTCATCCCTTTCAACCTATGTATTACTTTTATCACAAGCTTTAGTCGTAAACTGATATTGAACACATGTAATACAATCATGAATTATTTGAGACTTCCTTCCTCTCTAGTTATTCACTCATCATGCTGAGTGATGTTCTTGTTTGTCTAGGATGTCACTATTTCAGATTTTGCCTTTTTCTTTATTTCTAGTTTTTTTCACCTTTTTTTTAAACTTAATTATGATTATTATAAATTGGGTTTTTTTTAATGCGAAATTCAAGGCTCTTTGATAAATTTTAGAGGACGTCACCAGCATTAAAAATATACCGAAGTAATTCAGTCTGTACCACAGTAGCGTGCATCACATTTTGGTGGCTTTGTAAGTTCATAGATATAATAGCATCCACAGTTTTTCACTGAAATAAATTTTGTTATTTCAGAACCAGTGCCACCACTAAAGCAGACTGTCTTGTTAACTTTACCATCTTCCACTGTTGGATGTTCACCTTCCAACCAGCCTGACCACATTGCACCACAGTTTTCTTCTTCCACACCCTTTGTTGGCATCTTTGTGCCCGCAGCTCCCACGAAACGATACCATCCGTCGAGTTTCGTGTCACACGACGTTTTATTATTGGGAGTTTTGTAACTGCTTTTTCTCTGTTTATCACTCAGGTTTTTGTATTCATAGCAAGGATCGGCTACAAAGTCAAATGTGTACGATGATTATAGTCTTTAAAATCAACGGCTCAAGATTTTCTCCTTCGTCATGAAAGTTTGAGAGTTTAGCGACCAGAACCAGAATTTTTATTGAACCAGAAACAATAATTATTATGCATAAAGTAAGATTTCATGTAGTAGTTGTGTGGAACTTTCCAGTTTACGAAGCTAAAAAATCAATAAGGGAAACTCAATAACGCATATAAGGACAGCTTTATAAAAGCAAAATAAGCTAAATTAAAGTGCAGCTAACATACCAAGCTAACCTAGAAATCATTCTAAGCAACATATGGCAGTCTGCTGCATTTCCTTACAATAGTATTGGGCAGCTCAGAAAGCCACAAAACTCTTGAACAAAAGTTTCTCTCTCAAATCGGCACTCTTAATCCCATAGGTAGCAACGAACGCTTTTGATTCTACTGATTTATTCTTGTTTTCCTCGTTACCATGTTCCATCCAATAGCGTAGCTCCACTTTCTGCCTATTCACATTATCAACTCAGTTGATCAAACCATATCCCCTTGTGATCTCCACCAACAAACATGTACAAAAACACTTTTTCGAACACTTAATCTCCTAGAAAGACTGAAAACCTCCAAACCGAAAAAGGCGATCGATAAAGTATGTCACGCAAACACCATAACTTTTTACTTCAAACTGCGCTGGTTTCCAAACCAAGCACATTACTAAGCTGGAAATTTGAAAACAGATACGAATTTAGACCCCTTTATGCCTGACTAGGATAAAAATTTTCGTGGCTTTTTATATATGGATTTTCGAATTTGAAAATGTCAAGTGAAAATCAGCGATAGCGACCATAAATTATCAAATTGCATGGTAGATACCAAACGAACCTTCACATGTAAAACCATCCCCAGTGTATTTTGTATTACAAGAACAGTCGAATGAGCCCTGAGTATTAATGCAAGAGGCATTGGTATGACATTTGTTCATTTGATAAGCATGAGCCTTGGTACATTCGTCAATGTCTGAAAGAGATCATCCACGCTACGTCAAGATCAAGCTACAAACTTTAAAGAAAGTGACTAGTAGATATGTTGAGAAATCTAAATGTCAGACAATCTGATACTCGTAATCTTTTAACAAGCAAGATTTTTCGCAAAAAAATTCAGACATCAACGACAACCTGAAGCGATGAAGAAACAGCCATCTTGAGGGTGGGTTGCAATAAAAAAAATATGTTAATATTCTCATTATGGAGCACGATTATCAGCTACATTTTATGTTAACTTTTTTCATTTTGTTACAGCAAGTTCGCTACATCGAGGCGGGTAGATTATTAACGTTTTGTTTGAAAATGTACATGTATTGATTTTTTTTTCATCTTTATTTTGCTGTTTAAACACATTTACGGAATGCTACCTCTTGTACTTGCTCTAAGGTTCAAAGTAAAACTTGCGATTTCGGTTCATACAGTCTTCTATTGTTATTGCTGTTATTATTATGTATATTATGATTTGACCGTTTTTATTTGAATTTAATGTATTTTCATATTTCAATATATTTTAATATATTTAACAGGAATCGTTAATTTAACTTATGATTGGTCCAGTTGTTTCTTTTCCTTTTGTTATTCTACCTTTTTTTTTTTTTTTTTTTTTTTTAAATTAGCATATATATAGCTATGTATTTTTTTTCTCTCTCTGTTGTAACCGCTTTTTTCGTGTAAGCGGAATAAAAAGAAGTAAAAGTTTCTTTTCAATGGTCTAAAAATATTAATTACAGGGTCCATCCAAAGGCAATAAGAAACAAAAAGCCGCGAGATTATTCATTCAAAACGATGAAACATGATTTAAAGGGGTCCATAACACTATTGCAGGTAGTGTAAAAAATCATTAAGGATCTTAAATTCTACCATTCCTACTAGATCTAGTAAGACTTTCTTATACTAAGGTAAAGCTATAAAATCCACCTGTGCAATTGTGCCCATTTCCAGTATATCCAAAGTAACATTCGCATACATAAGATCCAATAGTGTTGATGCAGTTTGCATTCTCGTGACAAGAGTGATTTCCCTCACATTCGTCAACGTCTAAGAAATCCAAGACAGAAAAGGATTTCACAATTATGCAAAATCTGCTGCGCCTAAGCTACCAGCTTGTTAAAGATTGAACGAGATCGCGAGAACGCAAGGATACTAGTTTTCTGTGTAAAAACTATCAGTTAACAAGATTTAGTGGGGGAGCTGCCTCCCCTATGTGACAAAAAATGAATTTGGCTTTCCACGGAATAAAAAACAACAACAACAACAACAAAATCAGCAACAAACAAAATAACAAAAATTCAGATAATAGTCAACAAGATTCTGAGGTGTTCCTAAATTAGTGACCCTACCTGCACAATTCTGCCCATCTCCGATGTATCCAGGCTTGCAGGCGCAAACGTATGATCCGTGTCTGTTGTTACAAGTAGCGTTAATATGACATTCGCTAGGGAAGGTTTTGCATTCGTCGATATCTGTAGAAAACAAAAACAACTATCGCTAGTCAATCCACAAGCACACCAAAACCAAATTATACGCATCAGGATTATGCCCTGAGAGATCCATATATGCATCAGGGAATTAAGGTCACCTTTAAAAAAATCATCCATGTATGACCTCATTTTCTTCCCGCTCCGAATGTTGTGATGCTTGATTTGAACTTTAGTTACGTTATTATTATCTTAGGACTTTTCTTAATCCTAAAGGTAATCTATCAAATTCACCAGTGCAATCGCGTCCATTTCCAGTATATCCAGGGTGGCATTTACATACATGTGATCCAATGATGTTTGTGCAACTAGCGTTTACGTGACAAAAGTGATTTCCTTTACACTCGTCAATCTTTGAGAATTCAGACATAAGAAAATTTCTAATTATGAAAAAGCTTAACGAGCATAAGCCATTCCTTGTTGAACATTACATTCAAAACTATTGCTGGACAGCAAGAACCTCTTAAAGGGTGAAATGAGTTATCTGAGTAAACATCCATCAATTAATAACTTTTAATTGGGTAACTGCCCCAGTTATGTCATAAATATCAAATAAAAGCTCTCCAAGATATCAAAACAACCATACAAAAAAAAGACACACCAAACAAAAAATCGTTATAATAAAGTCTTTAATGTTGTTAAGACTGTTGACTGTACCTGCACAATTCTGTCCATCTCCGGCATAGCCAAGTTTGCAAGTGCACAGGTATGATCCGGGTATGTTATTGCAAGCAGCGTCCACGTGACATTCGCCAGCAGTTGTTTTACATTCGTCAATATCTGTCAAAAATATTAAAAAAAAATGGAGAACAAAAAGATAAAACCAGTTTATACTAAGGGCCACACAAATAGAGAAAATACTCTCAATAAAGTAAAAATACTCTCTCGCGTCGGATCTATAAGAGAACTATTAAACTATTATTAAGTTTTGCTCAGTTTGTTGCAGTGTACTCTGGAAACCACAGCTCCTTTTTTGCCAACGGGCACAAAACGCAATACAAATCCGGTAAACAAATTGCAAAACAAGGAAAAATAAACACGTTAGAGTACATTGTAAACTAACACAAATTCAACGCAACTGTAGTCACCAACTAAAATATAAAAAAGCGTTGGGAGAAATTAATACCGTCCATTTCAATTTCTCTTAAACTTACCATTTTCACATCGTTCTCCGTCGAATCCAGAAGGACACAAGCATCGATATCCCTTGTGAGTAAAACCAGACTGACAAGTTGCGTTATTCTTGCATTGTGAATACTTGTCACAAGCGTTCTGAAGGAGGGGAAAAAATGCAGTGACGAAAGAAAGTTCGACGGATTAAATGAACGAACAAATCCCCATGAGGACAGAAAGAGCAAAAAAACAAACCAAAAAAAAAAAAAAAACTGCAAACGGTAAGTCAATGTTAACACGTTATCTGAAAGCGACAGGTTCGAAAATTCGGGAAGAAAATTACCTTCGAGCCTCGATAGTAATAACCGGCATCAGTTATCAAGTCCCTGTCATATTTCAGATGAGTGGCGTTATTTAGTTCACAGAGGTGACCAAACACAGTATTCTGTGGAATTTTCTCTTGATCTTTTTTGAAGTTGGCACTGACACAGTTGTCGTTCAGGTAGCATAAAAGCTCACAGTCATCCAAGTTCTTGACGTAATTCTCGTCAATGGTATGGTTTACCAAACGTCTTTCAGCAAAGAAGTAGTAGTCTGGAAAGAGCATTGCGCGCTCTCGCTCTAAAATAAACAAATCGGAATATAATTGTGAGTCATACTTTTCCCTCGCACAAAAGTAAAACCTCGATTAAAAAGCTCTAAAAAAAATCTCTTTGCAAAAACTGTGGGATCGCAATAAATCACGGGAGCAATTTGGGAATCGAAGAGGCCCCACGATTTTAGCTAAGGTTATTGTATCAATAGAGAATGAGAACTCATCAGATACTCAGGGAAATTCTTAATGCAAAATGGAGTTCATTATTGATTAAAATTTTTTCATATCACCATCATTACTGCTAATAACTAATTTAGGGCGATTGAGATTTGTTCCCGAAGAAAGGAGAGCCAGTCTCTCTAAAAGTAGTTCGGTGCATTTCGGTTAAAAAAGACCCGTTTTTAACAGCATCGATCAACGAAAATGGTACTCCTCGTTTCACAAAGCTCATGTTTGACGAATTTTTTTTTTTTGCTTCGTATATTTAAATCGATCTTTTGAGAGAACAAATCACATAAGTTTTTCTTTTAGACAGGAAAAATTCATGGGCAGAGTTTGAAAAAAATCGATTTTTTGAACCAAGATGCATCGGACCGCTTCTAAAGAGACTGCGGTTATCATAAAAAAGAGGAGATTCATGCTAATTTGGGACGAGAAGAACCATTCTTTTCTGGCATCAAGTAACCCATCTAAGTTGGGGTTGGAAAGCTTTCCAAACAAACAAAGCTAGGATTAATTTTTTGAAATTGCACTTTCTGAAGCCAGTGTAGTTCGTTTGAATCATTAAACTCTGGCGTACATATTCATCTCTTTATTCTATGCAGTTATATTTATATAACACAACTCATTTGTCAAGGCATTTTTGTTATTCCTTTCATTTAATTTCTTAGAAATTCGGAACAAAATTCCCCTCACATCATTTTCTGTTGCTGAAAAATAATGATTAAAGCATCAGAGGTTTAAAAAAAGGGGAAAAAAAAGATGCGTAACTGAGTGAAAAGCCTTTGAATAAATTTCAGTCCAGGTAACGTTGCAACGAGAAAAATCTTTAGAGAAAATAGAATTTTAAAATTGCATGAGTCATCTGCGTGTAGTTTTGTCGAAGATCTTCCTATTCAAGCTGTTTTTTCTTTGACAAGTTTTACAGACTCTTCTTCAAACTAATTCTTTAGAGGTGTTGTGTCGAAGGGTTTTTTTTGGGTTTTTTTCAATCGCACAAAATTAAAACCGGTAAACTTAATCTACTCCTTATACCAGCATTGATCTTCTATGAAAAGAACTTCTCTAAGTTTGTTAAGAGTGGCCCATTTTTTCCATGCGAATTATCAAATTCCCGTCCGCCAAAAAACACGAAACATTTTTGAAAGTAGTGTTGTCCGTCCCTGTAAATGCGAGCTGAGTATTAAGAATTAAGTGGTTTTCACCGTGGCAGTTCTTAATTTTTCTTTTGTTTCTACATGCTCTTTCAAATTTTCGATCTGGGCCATGATAATAAGACCCCTTTGCTAAATACCATGCGTATTTAAAGTATACAAAACAAACTTTGCAAGAGTTTCCTTCCCATAAAAATCCTATTTATTGAGTTCAGGCTTTTAATTGTGTCATAACGACACGTTGTTTTCTAAGCTCGGTGCATGAACTTTTAAGAAGCAGCGAAATGGAAATCAGTCTTGTTTCGCATTACTATGAATCTAGAAATAAAAAATGATTCGCAGTTTGCAACTCACCTTTACCAAACGTCAAGCAAGTCATCGATGCAGTACAGACTGCGAATATGAGAACCGCAGCAAATCGCATGCTTCCTTAGGACAACAGACCCCAGAGCTTTAAGTCTGCCATAAATTTTGAGTCCATCACCTGCATTCAGTAAGGATTAATTAGTAGAAACCTACCCTTTTATTAAAGCTGTCAGACTTGACCCGATAAAGTTATCGATGCAAATAACATACACTTGTTCGCGTTTTAATATCTGCGAATGAACATGTTTTCGATGTCTTTCGTAGTGCTAGATAGAAAGAGTTTGAATTTGGGGGGCTAGGATTCTGTCGGTGTTAACCAACAGATTAAACACCAGGATTTTTTCATACAAATTACCATAACATCAACTTCAATCGCTTCATAATTACAGTTAATGGGGTATGTTTGAGATATCAGTATTGCAAACATATTCTAAGAAAGATAGCTGAATATACCCCGGGGATTAAGTCACTTAGAAAGCCAAGCTCCCTTGAAATACCGAGATAGAACACAGATTCAGAAGATTGTTTCCTCATTCTTAGAGTAAAACATCTCACAAAACTAATCGAAGCATCAATAATTGATCTATTGCAATAGTCACAAAATATAGTTATAAGAATTTATCTTATGTGCTGTTAGTCTCACTCACGCGGTCCTACTGAAAATAACAATCAAGTGTCTGACGCCAGACAGGTTGGCGTTTGAACCGATACGCCAAAAATTTAAAGCTGTCCGCCCAGCACTCGCACGATTCGGTTTTATTTTTCCAAAAACAGGATTTCTTAATTTGGACTAATTCTTAGAATATCTCAGAAATTATAAAATAGGTCGCTTTCTTCACGGTTAATAGGTACGTACTAATTTTGAGATGTTTTTCTTGTTTGAAGTCGTCGGCAATTAGACAATTTATCCTCCTTCGCACACATTAACGTCTCGAAATTTTCAAGATTAGCTCAAATAGGCTGTTTAGTTTGAACAAACAGAAACTGTCTTAGAAACAGGTGATCTTAAACTAATTCATTTTCATTAATTTGCCAGGAAACTTATGACAGCTTTCTTTCCAATGTCTCGATATATCTAGGAAATTCAAGTTACTGCGATCGCATAAAGACTAGAGAGATTTAGCAGCGCGTTTAAGTGAAACGGCAAACGTCAGCTTGCCCTTTCACGTTTCGCGTAAAATAGCGTGAACCTTGCTGCTTTAGCTTCGCGTGAGCTCACGTTTCGCGTAAAATAGCGTGAACCTTGCTGCTTTAGCTTCGCGTGCGCTCACGTTTCGCGTAAAATAGCGTGAACCTTGCTGCTTTAGCTTCGCGTGAGCTCACGTCGTGTTGTATATGAAGGTGCCCTTGCATGACTTACAAGGAATAGTTTTTTCAGCAATTAACTTCTACTCTGTGAAAGAAAAAGTGATGAAAAACTCACGTACACGGTAAAAGCGAAACAGGTTACTTTCACGTGGAAACGGCAAAGTACAACTGGAAAACGTGAAAAAATGGCGGGAAAAACAAGGCCACGTGGTCATTCGTGCCGTTCACGTTTCAAGTACATACGGTGCTAAATCACACCATTGTCGAGTCAGAGCTGCTCAGATACCGTACAATAATTGATTATGATCCAGTGGTAAATCGCTTGCATACTAAATTTAGTGCCATAATGAGACGAGGCTCTAAATTCTGTTTCCAGCCAGGCGTGTTCAGTTACTCGTGCTTCGCGCTCACCTCGCGCTTCAGGCACCAAAAAAACGCAAAACAATTACTCCTGTTCTTGAGGCTAAATGATTGTGAATCGTATTTACCAGTGTCACTTTGGGAGATGGGGGAGGAGGTTATAACTGTGTGCTGTTATAAATGTGTCCTCTTCGGACATAATTTTTTTTTATGGACTGCAAATAAAACATTTCTTCCAAAAGACTAATATGGGGCTAACCTTTAACCTTAACCCTATTTAACTCATTTTATATTACCTGGTGTAGTAGAAGTTTCTGCTGTTTCACACTTGTGTACTCCTTGGTCAGAAGGACTAAAGCACTGAATAACAAGTCTTTGAAGTTCTATTCCTTGCTCCACTCTAGACCGGGCAGTAAATTGCAGAGTTACTTTCTCAAAGATGTTTCTTACCTTAAGAATGGAAGATATTGCAGTAGAAATCACCGGGGGAACTTTGAAAGTAAAAGAGGAAAGGAAATGAAAATCTTTAGATTAGTCAATTTAAAGACGTATCACTTGTACTCCGCTGGAAAGACTTGACAATTCCAGTATAAATTCCCTACCTCGGCCATCCACCCGGGGACGGACGACGGTCAAATGCCCATGGGCTGCCCTGGAGGGGAGGGGGGGGGGATGGCGAAGCTTTGAATCTTTCTCTCTTTTAAATTCAAAGGTCTGTTTTAATCCAAATGTAATTTGCATAACGCAAAAACATTTCAGATATCACGACGCAACACCTCTGACTTAACCATGACAGACTCAAGAGAGTAATATTGTGTCATCGCACAGTGTAAAAAAAGCAAAGCATTACGCTCGAAGAAAAGGATTATTTTCAATTTTTGAGGAAAAAGCAATGCATACTGATGATTTTTCACTAATATCATCCGGCCTTCCATTACGTTGAGAAGCAGGTTTATTTATAGTTTATTTGGGTTCTGTTGTCTATTAACATGATATTTTCATCTTCATGCAATCACGCTATAAATTATGATAGGGTAATGATGAGTGGTCGTTCGGTTTGACCATCGTACAACAAAGCGAATGCGCAGAAATAACATAAACTTCATACGTTCCTTTCAAAGTTTAATATCTAAATAATAGCGAACGACCATCCCTGTACAACGATTCGCGTTTCAGACCTTCATCCTAACGTCCTCCTCTTGTCACGCTCTCATTCAGCCACCCACATCCATAGCCCGCGCGAGCAGTCTTTCATTGGTTCTGGGACAGGAGCAGTAAAACTTGCGAGTTTCGAGCGGGCGAGTGGGCGGGAAAGTGAGCGGGCGAGCGTGCGAGCAGTGAAAGGGGACTCCCAGGTTTGTGGAGTCTGCTCGCTTGCTACGCGCAACCCAATGAAAGCACAGGCAAAAAACAACACCCCACTCTTATTTCAAGGCAAAGAACGAGAAAGATGATTTGAAAACAAAATACTAAAAATACAAATACCAAGTGACAGTAACGTTATGATTTATTCATAGCACACCATAACATTACATAATTTTGATACATTTATATACCACAAACCCTTTCTCCTTTGGCTTTACCAAGAAAAGTTGTAAATACTGATATAAACTTCTGTGTTCTATAGATAAAACACATTTTAACTGAGCATATTAAAACAAAAACCAAAATTGGTCAAAAGATCAGTCAAAATAGAGGGTATGAATGGGGTTAATCGACTACCGACAAAGGATGAAAAATATAATTGACTATTGACAAAACGCAAAAAAATAATCACCCATTTACGACAAGTAAATGCTATTCGACAACCGACATGAGAACAAAAAAATATCTAAGGAAGATAACGAAATCTTTCAAATAAAAAGAGGCAAGCTGTTGGAGCGCGGTAAAATGAGAGTAAGCAAATGGTTATTGATTTAGGTTTTGTTTCTGTTTGGTAGTGCTTAGCGCAAATACAATTTTTCCCTTTCAAGTGTTTTTAGGACAACTAGCAAAAAGGAGACTTATCACAATTTCAAGGTAGCTTTGGTAAACGGCTACCGTAAAGAGTTTCAAAGGTGAAGTTTCGAACGTTAGCCTTTCGTCAGAGCGAAACATCTTTATGGTGGCCATTTACCACATCAACTATGTCGATAAAACTAAAATTACCTTGTTATATTCCCCCACCGACGCAACACCGCAGTTTCTATAAAAACTTTCCCCATTTGATTATAATTTCAAAGATCCCGGATTTCTTTTGATGCTTAATTGAAAACTGCTCCATAAATTCCTAGCGGCATTCAACTGATTAATAAGCCTATAGTGAGTGTTGTGATTTTCCTTGACTAACACGTTGCGCAGCTCTTCTTACATTTGACAAGCATGTATGATGGATATGAATTACAGTAACCTGCTGATGCCCAGGCAGCGCAGTCTTCATCTTTTACCCAATTCTTACATCCTGTCAAAAATAGAAAAGTTTTAGATACGAGTTATAATATTTCACACTCAGTCAACACAGTCCTGACTCCCAATTCAAACTTAGGCAGTGCTTTCTTGACTCCGCATAACATTCGTTTAACTTACACTCCTTTGGAATAACTATTGTTTTGACCTATAATGATGACTATATGATCATGAGGATGTATTTGGCAATATGAGCCATCACTGTCAGGGAATTGGGTTTTTGCGATAGGACAGGTGTGTTGCTAACACAGATATAAAGATATAAAATTAACGTTCAGTGTCACTTACGGCAGGACCGGCAGCAGGTATGAAGCATATAGTTGGGATTTTTGCCACACTCTCCCTGTTGGGCCCACGATGGGCAGCTAGGATCTAGGTCTTTACAACCTGCCAGATAAACGGG